AAGGGAGCGGGCGGGGCCCTGGGAGCTGGCGCGGCGGAGACGCTGGCCCCTCCCGCGGCTGCGGGGTGCACCGGGTGCATGGAGCATTTGGGGTGCGCTATCAGTTAGAGGGACGGCGCCGTGGCCAGCTGAGCTTCGGGACAGCATGGTCAACGGGCATCCCCCCGACCTCCCGGACCGCGCCTTGTGTTTGAAACCCTGCACGCCCTGCGCTCACTGTGGGACGCGCTGTCGCGCTCTCGCTCCTGCCGGGTCTCTGTTGCGCTCTCTGTCCTTTACCCTCATGGAGGCTGGGCTGCCGCTTCCTTTCGTCCATCTTCTCGCCAGGGGCTGGTGTTCGTTATTCCGAGGTCGGCCCCTCCAGCCACGCCTTGCTGGTCCGCTGGGATTCCGGTTGCCTGCGAGGCTTTGCCCACCGAGATCCGAGAGGCTGGGGACCGCCTGCCCTGGGGACAGCGGCTGGGTGGGCCTCCAGGGTGCAGCCGCGTATCTGAGGTTAGGACTGGGAAACAGATGGCGACGACCGCCACTCTCTTCTCACATCCCACCGGGGAAGGTAACGCTGAACCTCCTGGTGTTGCGGGAGGCGAGCACAGCGCGGTAGCTGCGCCCTGGCGCTGGGACCTCCGACCGCTCGGTCGTCCAGGGCTGCCAGCCTTTTTGCCTAGATGGGATTTCTGAGAACTTCAGTACGTCAGCTGAAGGGGGAAGGAAAGAGCAGAGAAGGGAAGTGAGTTATCCAAGGTCACAAAGAATGCCTCACCAACTCTCCTGGTCGCAGTCCTGGTTGCAGACAGCGAGGCTCTGTCTGCATATTGATCTGTAGCCCAGGAAGACACAGGGGCTTTTATTTGGGGAGGGGAGATCCCCAGTTTCCACTAGTGCACATGATAATAACAGGTGAGAGGCCTGTCCCTGCTCAGTGTCCACGGGAGAGATTGGTCAGTCTCCATGATCCTGTGAGAGGAGCGAAGCAAGAATTTGTGTCACAGTTTGAGGACTAGGGGGAGCAGAACTGTGTCTAGAAATCCTGTCCAAAGGGCGCGTCCCACAATGTCTCTTTTTCGTGTGACCACTGTTTCCCACAGCCCCTGAGCCGTGCCCTACTGCACCCTACTATGTGGCTTACAGAGTGTGGGGGTCCTATGGAGAGGCCCCAGTACAGAGGTGCCTCGGTGTCTCCCCAGATTTAATACTGGCTGGAGAACCACAGGGAGGCTGTGCTGAACAGCATGGTGCCCATTGGCTGCAAGAGTCCTGGGGGCCTGTGGACTCTGGCCCCAAGTGTCACCTGGTGACTGTCAGGAGCCTTTTCCTGATGTGGAGCAGAGCCACTGTTTCAAGGAAAGCTCCCTCTCCTCACCAGCCTTGAGATCCAGTTATGTCTACGCATGCCCGTCCCTTCACCCTCCTCTTAGTCACCCCACGCCCCCCACCCGAAGAGAGGAGGGACGGATTCTGGAATGAAGTAGGTGAATGGGCAGGAGGGAGCTGGCTCATCCTCCTGTGGACTTCCCCTCACTCTCAGAGAAAACCCCACCCAATTATCACATTACTGGGGACTCGAGCTTTGGGATTGCGGTGGAGGCTGCGGCAGTCTCCACCCTGCCTCCCCAGCTGCATGACCTCCAGGGATTAGAGCCGCAATGGGGGAGCCCCCAGAGGCTGCTGGCTCCACACACACAGGGGTGGCCATCCTGCTGGGATAGAAACCGGTGGGTGCTGTGTCCTCAGCCCTCCCTCCTGCCCCTCCCCTGCCAGGTCCTTGTCTGCTTCCCCTGCTGCTCTCTTTCTCTTCTTTAGCCTTGTCCTCTCCTGGTGTTGGTGGTGGGGAGGGAAGAGCAAGTGAGAGGTGGGCCCTGCACTCACAGATGAGGGCTCCCTGTCGTGGAGACGTCCCTGAAGATGTGTGTCAGAGCAAGCCCTCCAGAAAGCTGCAGCCAGGGCTAGCTCTTCCTTCGCCCTATTTCCTAGAAGCTGTTGAAGCCCTCCAGGCTGTTTCCTGCCAGCTCAGGGGCATGGGGCAAGGCTAGTGGGGCTCAAGAAGGAAAGACTCAGGTGCAGCATGGGGAGGGTCAATCTGTGGTTGAGTGGCGAGGCTCTTTCCTGCTCCGTGACTTCCAGTGGGAAATTCTGCACCCTAACTGGAGGAGAGTTCCCTCTTCACCCCGTGGCATGCCTGCTTGTGTCCCTGCTCGTGTGATCCTGGCTAAGGCTGCTTAACTCTTTCCTTTCCCCCCTCCCTCTCCTAGGAGCGGCTGAAGGTGAGGTCCTTCCTGGCAGCGCCCTCTGCTGTCACATGGAGGGGGTTTCCCTGACGCACCCTGGCCACAGTTCTGATTCCACAACATTCCTCATTTATACGGGTGACCCCAGAGCAAAGATCCTCACTGTAGGCTGTCCGAGGCCCCTGGGGGCCACTTTTCTTCCAGAATAGGCCCCAAGGGGAAAGCAGGTTTCATCTCAGGAGCTCTGGGAGGCCCCTGCTGGAGGAGGGGCAAGGTGAGGACCTGGTGTGGGAGCAAAGCCAAATGAGAGGACAGTTAGCTTTCTGAGGTAGTGAGTTCCTAGCCTGTGGCTTGAATCATGAATGACAGGTGTCAGGTGGAATTTTGCAGTGGTCCTTCCTGTGATGGTGGGGGGCGGGGGAGAGGGAGAAGCCAGGCTTTCAGACACTAATTGCCTAATTATTCACTTCCTTCTTTTTGGAAAAGAAGTACAGGAGGCAGGAGAGGATCTGGGCAGCCTGGGGCTGGAGGCAGAGAGCCCATGGCTTTGTCATCAGAGGGGCCAAAAACAGATAGGATACGGATCTCTAGTCAGAAGCAGGGGTGTTCTTCCTGCCCCTTCTGGAAGCTTCTTCACCTGACGTGTGTATGTGTGTGTGTGTGTGTGTGTGTGTGTGTGTGAGAGAGAGAGAGAGAGAGACAGACAGACAGACAGACAGACAGACAGACTCTGGGCACCTGCTCCTCAAGGATGAGGTCCTTGCATTCAGAAGCAGAGGGCCTATTCATGCTCAGTCATCTTTTCAGAGTGCCCCAGGCCAAAAGAAATAACTGACGATTTTGTTTAGCAAGTAATTAGGTCTAAACAACGTAATAATTAGTAGCACTTTGAAAAAAAATTCACATAAGTTAAAAGAAAAGAATACAATTTTATTTCATTCTCACATAACTGCAGTTGCTTATCATTAGGAAGCTGTGCCCATGGCTGGTGAGGACACCCTGTTTTCTGTTCCCTGTTGATTTTCACTGGGACTTGCTTTTTATCACAGTGCCAGCCAGAAAGCTAGCTTTGTAAAGATACGATAACTTCCAAAGAAATGTGGCCCATCTCAGCTGAAATGGAGCTATCTGGAGCCAGTAGGCATCTCACTTGCAAATGATGATATTGCTGTGTCTCCCTCAAGTGTGCAGCACCCTGGGGATTTGCCGTAGGGCCTTGGGGTGCCTTGTCACACAGTTTGGAAACGATGGCTCTAACACAAGCAGCTGGGAGTGGCCACCTGACCTCACCTAGAGCCTCTATGAGGGTCTGTCTCCATGTTCCAGGTGGACAATGAGGTTTTCCACGTCCCCAGAGAAGGATGAGGCAGGATGGGGTCTTGGTCTCTATTTCTCGTGGAGTCAGTCTCTCCCAGATCTGAATACTGAAGGTGGGACTTAGTGTTCCAAGGCCATGCGGTGAGAGACCTGCACCCCGAGAAAAGCCGGGGCCAAGATAGAGGCGTGGGGTGAGGGCATGTCACTCGTCTTTCTGAGCTGCCCATGGATGGAGGATGAGGTACCTTCCAGCCCCGAGAACCAGTCCATCTGTCTCAGGATATCTCTTAGCTGGGGCCCCTCTCTTTATCACTACTTCTAACTCTTCCTGAGAGCTCCATCTTGATTTTGATAGGAGGCTCTGACTAGACTGACTCCATAGAAGCGACTAGAACCTTAGGTCAGTCCCTCCTTGTACTAGAAAATAGGTTCGAGGTGAGTTTCAGAGAGTGAGGAGCAAATGGATGAGACCTTGGTCTCTGGACTCCACCCCCCAGGGGACCCGCACGCCTTTCAGAACGTCAACTCATCAACTTGAGTCACTACACACCTAACTTGTGCCCCTGGATGTCATGTAGGAGGCTGTCATCTGTGGCTTGTGGAACCAGACTCCTGTGTGCATCCCAGGTACACACTCCTAGCTCTCGTCCTCCCATCCCCCACTCCAGGAAGTACAGCCATCAGACCTCAGCATCTATGGTTCCCAAAGCAGTGAGTGGGCCTCAGAGGCATAAAAAAACAAAATTTAGGGATAAAAATTTGCATCGTGGACTTCCAGAATCCCAGATTCTCATCACAGTGGTTAGGACTGCAGATTTGCTGTCCGGAGTCTCACTTCTCTGGGATCTGGAATCCTGGTTCCAATGCCCCACTCACCTGTAAAATGAGGGTGTTAGCCCAGCCCAGCCTTTCTGTCTAATGTGCTGTTTTGCTGTGGGGCCACATGGGGCTATTAGAGTTTGAGTGGCCACCTGCACAAATTCTGCTTCTGGGCCAACATTGCCACCATGTGGAGATTCTGAATGAGGCAGTGGCATGGACGGAACACTTGGGGCCACACTGAGGTCCGTCACCTGCAGGTGGTGCCCACCTGGGCTTGGCTGTGGGTGGAGCAAGCTTTAGCTGCTCTGAGGGTCTTGGCCTTCCCGTGGCTTTTCCTGGTAATGAG